CCAGCAGCAGCACACTCATGGCATGCCCTTCTCACATCTTGTTTAAGCAGATGATACAAAATACAGATTTTGAAGGAAGAGATGCCAGAATTTAAGCATAATCAGATGACTATCAGAATTATTACTTCCCCAGAAAAATAGTGGAGGTAAAAGAAAAGAGTCTTGAGCAGCTTATAATGTCATCTTCCTCCTTTCTCTGGATCAGCCTTTCTAGATGCTTGCCTGGAACCCAGGAGGTCTGGCCCCCCCGTTCCCTGCGCTCACTCAGTGCCCCCTGCCCTGCAGACTCAAACCCCACAGACAGAGGTTTGTGCCCTGTGCAGCACAGCACCTACATCCACAGCCCAGAGCCCTGACTGCCAGCCATACAAGTAATACGTCATCCAAACCCAGTTTATCTGCAAATTAATGTTATATCTTATGCCTGCTATAAAGTGAAAACAGCATTAAATGCAGCACTTTACATTCCAGCACGCTGTGGAAGATTGTAAAAGCACTTAATATATTATTTAAGCTGGTTAAGCTAGATAGCACAACTGCAGTAATTAGCAACAATTCTCCAAATCCCCATATGCCAGACAAAGGATCACATTTAGTGTTTTTGGGCTGGCAGGAGGGAATCACAACACTGCAGACATTGGCACACATTGTTTTTCCTCCTCTGCCCATCCCTGCAGAGCCTGCACTTCACTGCAGCTGCCCCCCTGCAATATCGATAGGGTCTGAAACCCATCAGACAAACAGGGCCTCTCTTTGTTATTTAAATGCGATTTAACGTTAAAAGACAGAAAAATTAACTGCTTCTCTTGATAGCTGCATTCTGTAGACCGGAGGGGAATTTCCTTTCTTTTCAAAATAAAGCCAAACATAAAAAAATAAGAAAATGCCCCCAAACCCAAACGTGACTTCCTCTGAAAAATCCACAAGCTGAAGCGCTAAGCAGAATTGTAAAAGCAGCCCCAGCAGCAGCCCCAGCTTTGTGCATGGTGGGAGAGCGGGGCAGCGCAGCACGGGGCCGGGCTAGGCAAAGGGCATGGGTCAGAGCAAGGACAGCATGCAGGCACTGCCAGCAGCCTGAGCCCTGCCAGCCCAGCTCCCATCACTGCCCAGAGCATCGTCACGCTGTGCCTGCAGGCAGGCAGCCCGCTGGCACCATCTCTGCTGGAAACTTGCCTGGTGCAGCTCCTGTGCGAGCACTGAGGTGGGTAGCAGAGCTTCTGAGGGAGAGAGGAGGAGAAAAGGAGATGCAGATTTAGGAGCCTGTGCCATAAATAGAGTCACTGAAACTGAGGGTGCCATGGCTCAGAGAGGGGCAGACCTGGCACAGCCCCGCTCCCAGCCCCAGTTGGTGCTATTTTCCATCCCCACGCTTTCCCCCCTGGATCATTCGGAGAAAAGACTCAAGACTGAAAACTGACACAGGACAGGAGAACCCCTTCAGAAAGTTTTACTTCTCTATCGCAAAGATAGGAAAAGCCCTTTTCACTCCTTTATATTTATTATTTTCTGCTTCTTTGCTACAGTAGTGGGTAAGTTGGTGGGGAGGGGAAAATGAATGAGGCAGGTAGCACTTCAAGCAGCTCTTATGGCATCATCCAATGGGTTAACAAAAGAAATTGGATTGCTTTTAATGTTTAGATACCCACTTTGCTAAGCAGAAGCAAAGGAAAGGCTTTATTAACGTGTCATTAGCAAGGCTTGTTTCAATTTGCATAAGAAACTCTGAAAACTTTTGACACACAGAAAGAAGGAAGGCCTGAAACTGTCCTGTTTCTCACAATGCATGGAGGAAGCTGATAATGCTCTTTCATTTCCTGAAGACTTCAAAAGGCTTTTTTGTATGACATCAGCAAACACCAACAAACTCATTAACATCTAGACTAGAAGTGTAAAGGCAGAAACTCACCTGCAAAACAGCCGAAACACGAGATAACATACATACACACCAAGCTACATTTATTGACAGTGAGGAATAGGTCACCAGCAGCTTTGGGCCACCCAGGGTGGGAACACTTGGAGCACATCTGGTCAGATTTCAGAAAGGACAGAGAGGGCGAAAGGGATGCAGATGTGGTTACAGCTCCATGTTCCACCTCGACACACCACTGGTGGCAAAAAGCGTTTGGGATTTTCACCACATTTGTTCAGACAAGTAATTAAATGAACAACTTCCAACCTCAACAAAAAGGGATTTCTACGCCGTAATAGGATTCTTCTAACAACATCACATACAACAACGAGGCCCAAATTCTTTTTGGTCTCTTTGTGTGACAAGAGGGCTACCAGATGGAGCTGCGCTGATGGGCACTCAGCTGCAGGACAGGTCTCTGGTTGGCTGTGAAAGTTTGCATGGTCCTTAAGCATCAGGAGAGGAATTTCCAGGGCAATTAGCAAAGTCTCCACCCTGCAGGCTGGGCATCCATGCTGAGCATCATTAATCACTCCATCAAACGAGGCGTTCACCTCCGCATTGTACAAACAGGTTACCAAGAAACATTCCCCTTGACAATTCCTTTATTATCACATTGCAATGCGTCTGGCAATGTTGTCTGGCTTTTAGGTTTAAGTACATCACCTTGTACACATTTTACATTATATTTAAACCAACTACTTGTACATTTATCTGCGTTTATCAGCTCTCCTTCCCTGTGACCTCCTGCTAAATCAATATTGCATCAGATACCTGCCTATATTATTTGCAACCTGACTCATCAAATCACCTGTGGTTTTCATGCTAAATCTGCACAAACCAACAAACAGCAGCCACGTAAAGGGTGTCTTCACAAGTTCTTCCCTTTGGCTATATGCCCAGCCTTGCACTGAAAGAGCTGCTGTGCCAGCAAAGCTTTGCTGTTTGCACTTGCACAGCTCCAGGAAAGCACTCACTAAGGTGCAGAAATCGCTGTTTGCAGGGGAGATGTCAGAGAACTGGGGGTGCTCCTGGGCTGTACTGTCACAGCTGTGTTAGAGCAGCACTCAGGCTCCTTTCCCTTAGAAGAAATACGAGACATGGAATCTATTTGTACTCCTGACTTCTCCCCACCCAATTAGAACATTGTTTGGAAGGACTCCTGACCTCAAGTAAGCGATACAACCCGACAGATTTACAGAGATGTAGTCTGGGTTATGCCATCTTTGGCACACCTTACACCATGATCAAAATGAACTGCAGCTTTGCTCCGTGCAATCATAGAAATTCAAGGGCAGGGAAGGGTTATGGCTTCCAGTCAGAGTGCAGCTTGGAGCATTATCAGACAGCTCAACAGTGGGAAAAGGCATTTTGCAGCCTCAGCTTTTCAGACTCTGGCTCTGCTACTGTACTAAGTAATGCCAGAGAAGGCTGTAAGGTCACTGCTTCACTCTGACCCTGGCTGACAGCTCCCAAACACAGCAAGCTCCTCAGATGAAGGCTGCCCAGGGAGATCCATCCAAAGCTGCAGCTCGTGCCCCTCTGCTTTGGCTGCACTCAGATGCAGTGCGCACTCAGAGGCAGAATGTACACTGCTGTGCCCAAGGGGACCTTCAGGCCTGCAAGGTGCAGAGTATGAAGGAGAAAGCAAGAGAGCCTCTCCACTCAGCTGTCACGTGGAGGCTGTAATCTCACAAGTACACAGATATGGCCACGAAATACAGGTTATGCCTGTGATAACAACTGGTGTGTGTCCCAGGGCTCCTGCATGGTCTTTAATCTGGCTGCTACCACATGTGAGAGCCTGTGCTGAAGCAGCTTTATTGTTCCCAGTGCTCCTGTTTGCCAGGAACACACCGCCCCATGGTGCCCCGAGGTATGAGCTGAGGACATGAGCTGCCAGCTTCTTGGCTTGAGCCTCTGGAGGTGGCCACATCAGGATGGGTTTCACGGCTGCAGGCGGAGGGCAAGGAAGAGGGTGTGCAGCTGGCAGCAGGCGTTGAGAAACCGAGCACACTTTCAACACAGCCTTTAACTTTTCAACATCCCCTTCAACAAAGCCACCTCCAGCACCAGCCTTACCAAATCCAGGCTGAAGTTAGCACAGCTTCACTTATCCTCACTGCCACCACTCCTCCACTCTGCTACACAGTGACCTTGCTTTGTGTTAACTAATGCGTAACATACCTTGAAATCTCAGCTTAGACTAAACAAATTGCAACGTACCTTGGAGAGCCAAAGCAAAGCCAACTGCAAAGCATTTGGAGATAATTGCCCCTGTGTTTGCTCCTACATCAGGGAACTGACAGCAAAACTTCAGGCACTGGGGTCACAGGGATGCTGCAGCAGCCACACGTGCTCTGCTGAGAGCAGAGCCGTCCCTCCGTGTGGCCATGGAACCTCAGAGAGGGCCTTTGTGCAGCCCTGTGCTGACTCCTGGTACCAGAAGCAACCTGGCACAGGAGCACAGCTGAATCACAGCTGCAGCAATTACACTAATTGTCTGAGGGACAAAACAATTGCACTTGTCTGACTGGTCAGGGCATGACTGTGGCCCAACACATTTTTCTTTGTGAAAGCATTTTGCCTGGAAGTAAATCTCCAAAAAATAATCCCTTTAACTACAAGCCTTTCTTCCTCCTGGCAAATGCAATTTATTCTTTATTAGAACCGAGAGCTTTAAAAGAGATGCTACCCAGCAGAGCTACACCTTGCTGTGGGTGGCACATACAAAGGAGATACCCTCAGAATTCCATTACACCTCACTGGGAATTGAGAACACAGCTCCAACAAGCTCTGTCAACACCACCTTGTGTTGCACTCTGTGGCTGCGCCTGCTCCCCACCCAGCAGGGCCGTCTCAATGGCAGCTCAGCCCTGGCCTCACGGCCCAGTGGCTGCAATAGGAAAGGAGGAAAAAGGCCCTTTCTGACCACACCATAGGTGACAATCACAATCACCAGCGCCTTCCATCATCATATCCCAGCCATCCCCAGGGCTGGTGGAACTTGGAACCCGTATCCAGGCACCCTGGTGACCCACAAACACTTTCTGTGGTTGCTTCCCTTCCTCACCTGGACACAGGTGGCAGCATGAAGGCTGTGTGTGCCACAGAACAGGTGGGCACAGAGGAGCAGGCAGTCAGTGACAGCATGGCCAGAGAGGTGAGCATGAGCAGGAAGGGACACACAGCCAGAGCAGGGCTCAGCCTTGGTGACACTTCCAAAACTCAGTTTGGAACCAACTTTGCAAAGGCATCTTCCTACAGAGCAGAGTACATCAGAGAGGGAGGACTTGTCTCATTACATATCACATAGGGTATTCTAAAATACACCATTATCTTGGGATTAGGTTGGTCACAAAACCAAAAAAATGAGGTGACCAATTCTTACAGGCTTTTAATTGCAATTAAATATCTATCTTCATTAAGCACCTCTGAAAACCCAGCCTGAAATGCTTTTGGCAGGAAGAGCGATGCTCCTGAGCCTGAGGGTAGGGTTTGTCCTCAGCTGTGCTTTTGGGAAAGGGCACAGAGCTGGCACCAGTGGGTAACTGACCTCTGTCTCTGGCACCCACAGGGCCTAGGGAAGGATGCGGCCAGCACTGAGGCAGCAGTCCCTGCAGCGGGCAGCACGGGTCGTGCACAGCCTCGGGCCCCACTCATCTGCTCCACGGTTGGCCTCAACCAGGATACCTTCAAAATTGTGAGATACTGAACGGGATTTGGCAGAGGGGGAAAGAGTTAATTTGTGGCATTTCAAGAAGGAGGGAGGAAAAATAAAACCCGGGGGTTTGACAGAGGAATCAGACAGCAGGACAGCAAACTGAACCTTCATGCATGGAGGAAAGCCACAGTGGTTAACCTCCTCGTTGTTTTCTCAGCATCACACTTCAGTTAAGCAAACAACAGGCCATCCACATCGAAAGTCACACCGCTCAGTTTTTGGAAACACATTTTGCCACTTCAGCATTTCACATGGAGCTTTGATGGCAACCCCAAAATTTCATCCCACACCACTGCCCACAGTGGATGAGCCCACCCTTACCCACACATGGCCCTGTGTGTGTAACATGCAGAAAGCCATGCGGACACAGAGGGAGGGCATGCAGACACAGTACTTGCTCTTGCATCACAAGCTGAGGTTTGCACCATCCCAGGCACGGCCACAGGAAACAGCAGTGTGTGAAAAGCAGTTCCCTTTTCCCATCCATGCAGAACAACAGCTGTTTCGTACCCTGAAGTTAATACGTTTCACCCTATGATGTCAAAAGGGAAGTCCCAGCCATGAAAATCCCTCAGTCTCCTTCTGTGTCACCCCAACATGCTTTGCCCGTGGCACCTCGAAGTTCAGGAGGTGTGGGATAGGCCCCTTCAGGGTGATGGAGACACTCGGCAGGGACCCACTTCAGCCCTCCATCCCCACACAGAACGCACTCACCCAGAAAGCACTCTGATGCTTTCCCAGCCAACTACTTCAGTAGCTTACTAACAGAACACAGCTATTCCAACACTTCCTTTGCAGTGCAAGGAGTACTTGAGGCCCTTCAAGAGGTCACTCAGGAAGCTGCACTTGCCCCAGCACCTTTCCAGGAAAAAAAAAGTGAAGTACACGAAAGAAAGCGTGACCATAATTGGGGACCGCATCGACTTGTTCCTCCAGCAGCACTGCAGAGCCTCAGAGGTCCGGCACTGGAAGAAGTAAGGCTTTGACCTCTTACAGCTCTGGGAAGGGTCATTTTTCATAAGTTTATTAGCTTCAGGGAAAAGGAGAAAAGTGCCATGCAAAGGATTCACCAGTTGTCTCCCTCCATAAGCCAGAACCAGCAGGAGGAAGAGCATGCAATCTGTGCTCAAGTATGCAACTCACATCTCTTTTCCCTAGGATGCTGTGGAGGTTCACCTCCCTCTTCTCAGATAAGGATGAAAAGCAGCTGCAGAAGCTGTATAAGTACATCAAGAGAAACAAGATGCAAAAGTTCCAGGTAAGCAAGCAGGATAACAGCCTTCCTCAGCAGCTGAGCTGCTGTCCCCACCACCATGGTTTGCAATTGCAGGAGCAGATCCCATGCTCCTAGTCATGCTTTACAGACCAACTCTGATCCTTAGTTGTACGTGGTTAAGTGAGAGCTGAGCTCTGAAAGAAGCGACTTGCTCAGGTAAAGCAAGCGTTTGTCAACTCTACTTCTGTGCTTGAGCAGCAAGCTACAGGAGCCCTCCAACAATGGAGCTGTATTGAGTGGATTACTGAGGACCCCATCCCCAAGGGTTAAGCCATGAAAGCACACTCACAGCCATCCACAAACACAGCTCCTGAGCAAAGGCTGAGTGCACCAGGAAGTTCAAAGGTCCCTAAGAAATACTTTTAGAAGTTTATTTTAAAATATTAAAAACTGTCCCAGTGTTAAAAAAAAAAAAAGCCAAAAACAAACAGCAATACTGAAGGCATCTGGGAAAGTGTTCTGAGCAATTTAGGAAACTGCAGTAGGTGTGATCCTGTGCTTCACATTAAAGAGCTGCGGCCATCTGAGTGCTGGCAGCAATGCAGCTGTCAGCAAGTGGGAGGTCTGAATATTAGAGCAGAGGGAAATCAGGCTGTTTGCTTGTTTGGAGGGCTCCAGAAAGACACCCCAACAATAAGGAAATGTAAAGAAAAAAAAAAGCAGGAGCACTGAGCAACAAATGCCTCCAAACTCTTCTACCCCATTGCTCCCCCTGAACGAAAAATCAAAACACAGAATAGCACACCTTCAGCTTGGGGAGGAAAAAGTGGGAAAGTGAAGGGGTAGGTGCAGCCTGTGATACAGGCAGGGCTGTGCAGTGCAGGGCATGGAGCTGCCTCCAGAGCACAGCGATATGCAGGGGCTGATGGACTGCAAGAGGGTGGGAGAAGCCTTCCAACCAGGGAGCAGCTGCCCCCCATTGCAGCTCAGCAGCAGCACTGGGGCAGACGTGGATTGGGAACACCTTGTTGTTTAGATGAGTGAGCATAAATAACATCATCATCAATACATAATTAGGAAGTGACTGAGGTTAGCTCTCCTTAAAGGAAAGTCCTCTGTCAGCCCTACCCGCTATCATCCTACAGCCAGAGCTCTGCCTTCTCTTTTCCTCACTGCAGGTTTCAGGCCTTCTTCAAAAGCCACATTTCAGTTTGCACACTGATCCCAATTCTGTTTTTGGGCTTACTGAATGCACCCAAGCAGCCCTGCATCCCCACGTAATCTGCTGCCTCTTTTATGCCACCCAAAGCTCATTAGCACAGAAATTAGCCCCCTGTTCCATTCTTGTTTCTTTACTCTCTCAGACCACCTGAAGCCCCTGAAGTTTGTTAGATTCAACATGATTCGGGCAACACAAAACCTCTCTTTCTCCTCTGGGATTGCCCAGAGCAATGGAGATGCTGCTGCTGAACACGGGCACCCACTGCCACCCACTGCCAAGCCCGTGCCCGAGGCACCACGGGGCGACAGTGACATCCAGTGGCACGCACACATCCCCAGCACAGTCAGTAGAAGGGGCACGGCACAACACCTCTTGCTATGAAACCTGGCTGCCCAGCAGCACCAAATGCTGTCACCCAAGGAGGCTGGAAAAGGTCAGTCCTGGAGCCACTGTGCGGAGGGATTCCTGCTGAAGAACACAGACATTGGGTGCCCAAACTCAAGTGGAGGTTGGTATCTGGGCACAAGGATCAGCACAGGGCTTAGGGATGGATCGCTCACTGCTCCCCCCACAGCCACCCAATGGGCCCACAGAGCTGCATTGCTCAGCAATGAGTCAGCGTGCGGTGCTCAGTCAGATCAATATCCTGAAGCCCTGTTTGTTGTGTTTTTGTTTGTTTTTAAAGCTGTTATGCTGTCCTTCAGAAGGTGAAGATTCAGAAAGAAAGCTGAAGGAAAGCACTGGGAGCAGTTGGGCAGCAGCTGGGGACGCAGTGGAGGTAGCAGCCACACCAACACCCCTCCTCTGCCACCACCCAGCTGTGAGTGCGACTGCTACACAGTCAGGTAAAGATGTGACCAGGGGTGGAGGCAGAGAATGGGGCAGATTGAACTGCTGCCTCAGAAGGCACAAAAAGCAGGGAGAACAGCACACAGCAGTAGCAGGGAAGCAGGAGGCATCCCTTGGGCAGCCCACGTCAGCTGCAGCCCATTGGTGTGTATTTACGTAGCAGTGCTGGTGCTCACAGCATAGCTGTGGGTTTGCCTCTGGGCACAGCCTGGCAAAGATATGCAAGCTCAACAACAAAAATGCTGACCAACCTGTTGAAGGCAGGTCAGCCAACCAGAGCTCTCAGCAGCCTGCTTCCTCCAGCCCAAAGCCCAGCATCCACAAACCCCAAAGGGAGAAGGAAGAAGGAGCAATTGCTGGCAAACTGCTCCGCCCTGGGCAGGTGCCGCAGACCCATGTGTGCCTATTTTCAAGCTGTCAAAAAGCACCCACATGTCTCGTGGGTGTTCTCATGCACTCACAAAACGTCTTGCTTTTCATCTTCTCTATCCCAAACCACCTTGTTTACCTCTAAAGAAATTCAATTTGATGTCAGATTGTTATATACTGTCGCTGGTGCATATGTAACAGCTACATTTTACCAACTTGAAATTCAAATTGGTAAACTGAAAATCAAAAAAAACAAGAAAGAGCCAGACAGCACGAGCCAAGAGGTGGGAAGGAGTCCCACACCAACCTGCAGCTCCGTGCTCAGGCAGCCCTCCGCACGTCTGCTGTGCAGCAGGAATAGAGAAAACAGCACCTGGCTGCTTCTCGTGTAGGAACACAAAGTGTGTGCCATACAGGGAGTTGCTGAGATTGAGATACATGGAGGTTTTGGGGCTGCTGGCGGCCTGAGTCAGCTGCCCTCTGCTACTGCTGAGTCAGCAGGAACTGAGATGCATTCCTCATTTTTAAGGTTCTCAGACAGCTTCAGACACCAACAGAAAGAAAAGTTAATGCTGGATTTTCACCCAGTACATAGGGCAGAAAGCATGGACTGGAGCCTGCCTTCGTGTTTTCCTGAAACTGCAGGATTCTGCAATACTTGCAGCGCCATAGCAACAAGCTTTCACCCAAGCAAAATGAAAATGCTGTTTAAAACCACGTGATGTTGTTTATTATTATGCTGGAATTTCCTAACAGCTGTGCACCAGCATCAAATCCCCACTGGGGATGTGTAAGCATCACACCAACCAATACTACATCTCTCCTTTTGTACAAAACTGGGCGGTGGAAGAACCGTGTGCACAGGAGCAGAACGCGCTGCCTCCCTTTGCTGCAGAGAGCAGGATCTGCTCCACAATCATTCCCACACAGAAAGCCCTTCCCACTGCCAGCAGGGAGGACGTGCTGAAAGAGGATCAGAAGAGGTGAATAAGTGGACTATACTTTGGCACCAGGAAGTTTCATAACTTCCACACACACACACACACACAGAGCTGAGCTTCTCCCAGCTGCTCCAGGCAGAGAACGGCCTGCAGCCCGCGCTGGCACAGCCTGCACTGATCCCACCTGGGCTGACTGCTGTGGGAGCAAACTCATCACAGAGCTAATGCTTCAGGACAGGAATGATTAGAGGAGAGTAACAAAGCCTCTGCTTCAGGGTCTAGAGGTGGCTGCACTTGATGTCCGCTAGAATGTAGGTTGTAAGGAACAAACACAATCAGTTTGGCATGGAAAGCTTCTCGGCCAACCAGTCAAATCCCCCAAATCCTTCCCTCCTCAGTGTTTGCGCGGTGCAGGTAATTCAGCAGCAGATCACAAAAGATGTTCCTGAGGTAATACAATATTTCTTTCAGCTAAAAGTGAGGAGCTTTCCCCCATAGCACGTGCTGCATAAAAGCGATCGCAAATGCAGTTGCATCAGAAAAATACTGCATGCCCTCAAAATGTCACCCTTGCTTAAGGCAAAGCTGAGCAAGATTAAAGTCTGGATTATTCCACAGTTTTTCCAGCAGGACTTGAGGGGGCTGAGAAGTGACAGGAGCTCTCAAGGAAAACTGAGCTGTGCCAAAAACCGCTTCGCTGAGCTCCCTGACTGGGTGACACCGGCAAACAAAGGCAAGAGGAAAGTTCTTGTGATGCACACATCGTATGAAAACCTTCCACGTAAGCAGCACAACACATCAGATCCTGCAGCACACTGACACAGGGACTGCTTTCTCCCGCTGTGTCATGCTAGCAGTCAGCACACAGCACTCGGCTCGCATTTCCTCACCCGGGCTCTTTGCTCTCTTCTGTTTAAACGCAGCATCAAGAAATTCATGGAAATGTTGCACAATCCTGAGCTTAGCTCATAAGGAAAGCAAGATTTGCATATACTTTGTAACGTTTCACTGTGTAATATAGAACCAGCAAAAGACAAAAATCTATTCCTTTCTCCTAAAACCACAAACCTGGAAAGGTACAAACAGAGGCCATGTGCTGACAGCTCAGGACAGTAAGGCTCATGTTTTACGCCACAGAAAGCAGAAACTTTGTTATTTACCAAACAGAGAAACAAAAGATGTCCAGAATAAGCAGAACTGGTCCCACAGCAGCCTGCAGTCTGGGACAGGCACTGCAGCACCACAGCCATCCCCACACCAATGCAGGGACCTGCAGCCAGCCTCCTCAGAGAATTAACAACAAGCAAACAAAGCAAACAACAAAACACCAGTACTTACATCAAGGCATGTTGTGGTTGAACTCCATCAGCACAGGACGCAGTGCTGCACCTGCTGGCGCAGCACTGACTTTGGCTTCTTGGACTGTGAACCAACCCGGGAAGGAAGTCATCACCAGACAGCAGCACTGACCCAGCTGGGTTCATTAACTCCCCAAAATGAGCAGGATAGGTGGGTGCAGAGGCACGAGGCCATTTGCTTTATGCTCAGCAGTTTGGCTTCAGCACTCCTAAAACGTCAGCGTTTCCCTGGGGAAAAGGGAAAGAACTGAGAAAGCTGCACAGAGCCCCAGAGGCCTGTGCTTCTTTCCACCTTCCATCAGCATGGACAGGAGGCACCAGGCTGTACAACAGGGCACCGCTGCAGCCCTGGTTTCAACCTCAGCCTCTGCAGTCATCCTGCTTTCCCTGGGATGAACCAGCCAGCAAGGATTTGTCCAAGCAGGGCATCCTATGGGGCACAGTTCGGAGTGGTGCCCCAGGCCTGGCTGCCTTCAGCCCGCAAGGCCCGGTCCAAACCCACAGGCCTTTGTATTTTGTGCTGAGGGCCGCAGCGAGCGGCCGGGTGAGCACAGAGCAGCTGGCAACAGGCTGGGAGGGAACCGTGCAGAAGCAATCAACAAAGCTATCAACAAGACAAAATGAGAACGGAAAAGAACAAATCCAAGTGAACTGCAGCACCTCCCCTGGTGCAGTCACTAATAGGAGCTCACACCTGGAAGCCAGGCACAAGGAAGGAGCCACAGCCACCATCTCTGCCTCTGCAGGCATTTCAGATTAAACCTGATGGGAGGTTCACAACCCTCTTGCTACTATCAAGAGCTAACGGTGTTTCTGCACACACGTTACCCCACTGACACGGCGCAGTCTGAACTGCTGAGCAGTAAGTACAACTTCTTAATGCTTCTGGGAGTGCGCCGTCTGTGGAAGAACAGCGTAATGGTGAACAGCTCAGAGGAAACACAAACAGCCTCGCTGCTGGCTGTGCAAGCATTGGCACAGGCATCCCAGAGGGCACATTCAGAACAAGGCAGCTGCTCTCCTTGTGTTCCCTCGCTCCGCCAGCTCAACTCCCACTTCGCATTGGTTATGACACAGCAAGGGAGAGCAGGGAAGAAAGGGACAGGTATTCACCAGAAGCAAAAGTTGGAACCAAATTCAACGCAGATGCTTCCAAATGCAGGAACACTATATTTATTAGGTCGATATTTCATTTTAGCAATACAATTACAGAATATCACAATGCTGGTTACAAACATAATATGGTTTTGATGGTTACAAATAATGTCGGGCACTGCAGTCTGTGAGAAGTAGGATACGAAACATTAAGTCTTGACACAAGTAGGTCGGTCTTCCAAGTCTAGTCATGATCAAGATAACTTCATATAAATGACTGTGGCACTACAGGTAGAGATTCTGGTTTAGAGGTGTCGTCTGTGTAAGTAGTTTGATTTATACAGTTATACAGTTCAAGCAACATCTTTTTTAGAATGCTATTAAATTAAAACTCCCTGTAGTTCAACAAGTATAAAAATAGTACTGAACCTGGTAATGTTCAATAAAACGTAGAGTTCGTTCACATCATTAAGTAGTAAAGAAATTGTGAAGTCCTAGTTACCACGGCAACATTGCTTCCCATGAAGGAAAATACATCA